CCTCTCAGTTTAGGAAATTAATTCTGTAACAGCATGGCACTTGGTCAGACTACGTCCCCTCGAAAGTTCAGCTTTTCATATTTTCTGACCCTTAATTTTCTCCCCAAATACTTTCACGGGACGTACGTCAGAACCACGCATATCTGGGGGCTTAATTTGAAATTTTTGAGTTCTATGTGAACGAGGGAAATAACTGCAAAATTTCAACTTTCAAGCTTTTCTGAATCCCGAGTTGACGATTTTCCCGCCAAAACCTTCACACGCTCACATGCGAGGTAGATATGCGTGAGGTTGGTGCCACAGTCCTGGGGTGGCACTTGACCGGGGGACTCACTGACAAAATTTTGGCTCCGGAGCTTGCCTGGTTACCGAGTTGAAATACCCGGACAGACGCATGCACATAAATACGTACATGCATCACATGCACAAACATACACACCGGGGTCGTCACAACATGTGTTTTGCATTTGCGTATATGTAAAAACGCATAGTTAGCATTTCTGTGATGGAAGGTGTTGTAACAAAAGGCATTTCGCGATTATCAAAGTGCTTCAGGCAAAAATTCGCCTTATTTTTGACCGGATGATTCGATCAATCGATGCTCAGTATCGGATCAGACAGATAGATCCAGATGTTGCAACAATGACTGTTATTCCGGATGAAAAAGAAGGCATCAAAAGGTAGGTATGAAATTAACGATAGCGCTCCCGAAGGCTGGCCTGATTAAATGTTTTTGCGGCAAACTGTTTCAGGTTTAAATGTTTAATATAAGAGGTTTAAAAGCACAGGAAATTAATTTTATCCGCCATAGTAGTTTTGTTTGCGTATCCAGTAAATGGTTTCACAAAAATTTCAGATTCACGTCTTATTTTTCTAGCATTTAAAAGTTTTTGAGCTAAAAAAGGGAAGAACTGGAAACATAATTCCATAGGCCATTTCCTTTATGCTGTGAATTCCGTCCCGTAGATAACCGTATTCTAAAAAACCATGACTCACTTGAATTTGGACATGTGGCCATAGGTGTGGAGACAGTGAGCTTTACACATACCAACTTAATTGGTTTGTCAAG